CTACAAGCTATTAGAAGAAACAAGGAAGCTGAATTTTAAATTGTAACTCTCTTTAATGTTATTTGTGGCTTTTATTGGTAAAATTTTTGTACCTTTACTAAAAAATTATCAAAAAAACGTAGACAAGATTATCAGTATCATCAAATAGACGTAAAAAATATCAATATTGGCAGATAGAATTTTTTTAACATTTGTTCCATGTTCCTGGTATATTAGGTACTTGAATTTTTTTCTCTGGGGCGCCAATTCTAACGCATCCTGTATAAGGCATTTTTATTTTATTTTTGAGTTAGAATTATATTTAGAATGTGAAATTAAAAATTTAGAATTTCAATTCGCAAATACGGTATTTTCACTTCAAGAAATGAATGATAATTATTATTCCCGTGACTCTCACTTTATTAACATTTTTAGTCCAATAACATTAAAAATTCGTCAGTCAGGAATCGCTTGAATATCTCAACCGTCTTCCACTAATAAAATTTAACTCCCTCGATATTCACGAGTCGTAAATTTTATAACTTACAGACTGGGATCATAGTCATCCTGAAACCACCGTTTCGTCCTTTTATTTCCATCCAGTTGTCCCGTGTCAACAGCAACTGTCGATTCCTTACAGGCCCTTTTAGTCGTCTCCTCATATTGTGCATGTCTCTCGGGATTATGTTGTTCGGGATATTTGAATGCACAACAATGAAAAGGGTGCGTCAATTTAGCCACTTTCAAATTCTGAATGCAATGAGATTGATGACTTGAAAGTAAGTAATAAATTTCTCAACATACCTCCAAATCGTAAATACTTGGAATTACTTTCATCGAAGGAGTATCTTCGATACGAAGAGTCTCAATTTCTCCCAATCCTACAACTGGAAGATTTTCAATGGACGTACTGGATAAGTCTCTATAACCAACAAACTGCTGCCGTTTAAAAATGATATGCGGAATTTTGATCATTTGAGGACCTTCTACGTTTTTCAGGGAAGTGGAGAGAAGGCCCCCAAATAGCAAACCAAAAATATCACTTACAATTCTCTCAAACTTTGGAGACCTTTAAAAGCATTGGGTTCCAATTTTTTCAGTCTTTTGTTGCCGCCAAGATTCCTACAACACGACGTTTTCGAATAATTAAACCGAAGCTTTGTGTACGATTTATTAGTGAATTCAACAAAGAAAAATCGTTTGATGAAAATGACGCATATTTGAGATGACACAAATGTATGCAAGATTTTGCTCGAGTTTCAATATCTGATTATTTTCACAATAATAGTTGCAGCTTTTGAAGGAACGTTTATTCTAGTGTAGAAAAATATGATCGTTATTTCTTTCGCATGTTTTCCTCGGAACGGTTTTATTTATTGATGCAAATAAAAGAAGAATATTTTGTAGTTTTATACAAAAAGAGAAAAAAATAATTTCATATTTTATCATTGATATCACTTGAACGCAAAGTAGCCAATTATTATTCATCATAAAATTAGTTATACGAATTACAGTTTCAGTTGCACGGTTTATCGATTTTCAGCTGTGCTGTCGTACGTATCAAAACGTGATTTTCCGTTTGTGTTTTGATCGAGGATTCTACATAGCTTAACTGACGACTTGTTTCATCATAATCCGCTTTAAAATAATTAATAAATCTATAAAAAGCTCACTGAAACAATAAAAACAGATTAACAGAGAACCAGCGCATCCACCAATTTCGTGATCTTATGAAACAATAATGAAGAACAAGCCTAATATTTTTTTTCGGTAAATATTACTTTACTTAATTTGTCATCTTGTACCAACACATTCATCAAACAAGGCGCTAATTGTATTGACTAATTAATCGTCAGGTGTGTAATTAGTGTTTCGATTCAGAGAAACGAAGTAACGAGTGAATTTTTTGATACTTACAACTTGCCTATTTGTGAGCCATTAAACGCCAAGTTTTCCACAACTGTTATTTCATTGTAATTCAGCGTTCTAAAATGGACAAATTAATCCGAATTTTGCATTAAAATAATACTTACACTTGTTCGGCTTGAATTTTTACAGAGTTTGCTTTAAGTTTGTCAATTTTGTTCAAATCCAAGTCACTGAAAAAAAAATCTTATAAACGTCAAAGTTTGTTTGATTATAATCCAACTCACACAGGAAAGCATTTAATGTATTTGTTCCTAACTTTGTAACATATATTGCAGACAGGAATAATGAAATAAATCATTCGCGAGCTACGAGAACTTCCGACCAAATAATCTCAGACAGAAATCATGCCATATATCAAAAAAAAAACATCTCTTCTTATGAAATGTTTTAAAATTGTTCGTAGCTTTTAGATAATTTAATGGAACTGTGTAGCACAAGTGCGTGCGTCTATCATATTTCTATACAGGGTGTTTACGGTCTTGTTGAAAATTGACCTAGTAATAGAAGAGTACAGAAATACTGTAACCAAGAAAAAAAACTCACATAATTGTTATTATTACGAATGTTATTTAACGCCAAAATATTGTTACAACAAATAAAAAATCGTATCAATGACAATGAAAAAGAAAAGTCACTTCATAGTTTTGACACTGTTTTTATTTGATTTGCTTTTGCTTTAGTTTTTATCAAAATTCTTAATTTTTTTTTCAAATTTATGTACATGGATGGCAAAAAATATTAAAATAATAAATTGGTTGTCGTGATTATGATTTACGGTGAAACACACAAGGTAATGATACTAATGGCGGCTGTTGCAGTCGAAAATGCAGTATTATATAAAATGAATTATTTCCGTTAACAATTTTTGTTTTATACAGGGTGTCCCAGCGAGTTGAAAAAGTCCATTAGTGACCTTTAAATAGTAAATCTTAAAAAAATGTATAAGTCATTGATATATACTAATCTAGTGCATCATCTAAAATTATTTTCAACTATACAGCATGTCCCAAAAATAAATTACAATACAAACTTGTGTTTTTTTAAATGAAATATTATATGTTTCTTAGCATTTTTAGATGTAGATTTTTATGACAATTTTTTTTATGACGCTAAATTTTTATTAGTCGATTTTGCTTAGTTTTAGAAATAAGACGTTTTTTCGACAAAAACATGCACTTTTTAAAAAATTATTACACAAAAACTAAAACAGGTAGAAAATTTTTTTTCTTACTTTTGCAAAGAAGAAAGTACAGAAGTTAAAGCTGTAGCAATTTTTTAATCTTTTGCATTTGTAAAGATTTATAAATTAAAAAGTTTGTTAAAAATTAAATAACTTAAAAAATTTAAGTTGAACACCCAATTTTTTATTTTTGCATCTAATAGATTGATAAATTGTCTATCTAAAAAAATCAACTTTAATGTCTACAATTCATAAATGAAAAGATATTTAACATTCAATATTAATTGTAGCAACAATGCTTATCATTGTTGACTGTGCAACTGTGCACTTTTTGGCTACTGAAACAATATTTTTTTTATGTTTAACGTTAAATATCTTTTTAGTTATTAAAACACCTTAAAGTAAATAATTTTAGAAAGACAATTTAATAATCTTTTAAATGCAAAAACAATAAATAGGGTGTTCCATTTAATTTTTTTTTAAGTTTTTGAACTTTTAACAAAGGCCTTCATTTTTTTATCTTTGCAAATGCAACACACTAAAAAATGTTACAGCCCTATAGCTTGCACCTTCTTCTTTGCGGTAGTAAAAAAATATTTTAGTTATATCTTAGTTTTTGTGTAATAAATTTTTAGAAAATGCATGTTTTCGTCAAAAAATCGTCTTATTTTTAAAACTAAGCAAAATCGACCAATAAAAGTTTAGCTTAGAAACACTACCATCTAAATCTACACCCAAAAACGCTAAGAAACATATGATCTTTAATTTAAAAAAACACAAGTCTGTATTGTAACTTATTTTTTAGACACGCTGTATAGTTGAAAATAGTTTTAGGCGATGAACTAGATTAGTATCTATTAATGTCATATATAGAGTGCGCCAGAACTCGCGCCCCAGAGAAAAATGCTATATAAGGTAAAATACCAGAAACATGGAAAAAATACATTAATTTCGAATTAATTTTGAATTCAGCCTAAAATTAAGATTGAAACAATTATTTTTAAAATACATTAATGTCGAATTAATTCTCTATTAACATCGAGAAAAATTGAATTGAAAATAGCTCAAATTGCTTTATTTTGGAAGAAAAGTCCTGTTCAAGCCAGTATTTGGTTGAAATACTTTGATTCAGGTTGATTCCCAACTTAAAATTGAGCCAAATCGATTGAAAATATCACAAATTGCTCTATTTCAGCTTAAAATTGAAATTGAAGCAATTATTTTATAAAATACATTAATTTCGAATTAATTCTGTATTAAAATCTAGAAAAATTGAATTGAAAATAGCTCAAATTGCTTCATTTTAAAGAAAATTCTTATTCAAGCCAGTGGTTGGTTGAAATACTTTGATTCAGGTTGATTCCCGGCTTCAAATTGAGCCAAATTTATTGGAAATAGCACAAATTGCTTCATTTCAGCCTAAAATTGGGATTTAAGAAATTATTTTTATAAAATACATTAATTTTGAATTAATTCTGTATTAAAATCGACCGTAATTAAATTAAAAATAGCTCAAATATTGCTTTATTTTGGAAGAAAACTCTTATTCAAGCTATTATTTTGTTGAAATGCTTTGATCCAGGTTGATTTCCGGCTTAAAATTGAGCCAAATCAATTGAAAATATCACAAATTGCTTTATTTCAGCCTAAAATTGAGATTAAAGCGATTATTTTTATTAAATACATTAAGTTTGAATTAATTCTGTATTAAAATCGAGCAAAATTAAATTAAATATAGCTCAAAATGCTTTATTTTTGAAGAAAACTCCTATTTAAGCCATTAGTTTGTTGAAATGCTTTGATTTAGATTGATTTTCGGCTTAAAATTGAGCCAAATCGATTCAAGATATCACAAATTGCTTTATTTTATCCTAAAATTGAGATTGAAGAGATTATTAGAATTTTTTAAACATTTTTCCCATGTTCCTGGTATCTTATCTAAATTAAAAAATTTTTCTGGGGCGCAAGTTCTGGCGCACCTGTATAATTTTTTTAAAATTTTACTATTTAAAGGTCACTAATGAATTTTTTCAACTCGCTGGGACATCCTGTATGTGTGACTAAAATTTGCTGAAACTGTATTTACGAGTGTGCAATTTATTTGTCACAACGTTCTATAGGATACGGATTTTGTGCAAAGAAATATAATTAATTTTTTATATAACGTTAATTTAGGAATTGCCAAGTTTTAAATTTTTAGACATTGTTATTTTTACAAATTGGATTATCTTGCAAGTGTTTGGATTTTGTGGGCTATTAATAAATTGGTCTACACAACGGATGAAGTTCAGATTTTACCTTATCATTATTACTAAAATTACATACTGCCCTGTAATTCAAATTGCAACTTTATTAGTTTTCTTATCATCTCATTTAAATTGCAACCTCAAGACCGTAAACACTCTGTATATTGAGAGATAAATTGGTCAGAAAATAGGACTCTTTCGTAAGTCTGCTTTGACGGAAAAAAAAGAAAAATAATTTTTACAAGCAAATGGAATGATTTTTAGATTAGTTTGTATGACTTTAGTTTCAAATTTATTTGTCTTTGGGTTTTACCATTAAACAGAACAAAAAATAAAACCAACTTTGTAGATTAAATCGAAATTATTTCCGATTCAAGTCTCAAGAGCATTGATGCGGTAAACATTTTTACAGTCGATTCGTAAACACACATGCAATATCCAATTCAATACTTACAGTAAATGCATGACATTTTCAGGAGGTAGATATGATAGATCTGGCACTTCGGCCAGCCCAGTCTGCACTATCCTTCTGCAAAAAATAAATTTCTGTCAAAACAACTCGAGAGAAGTGTCACTAATCCAACCAAATATTATCGAAATAGAAATATCTGAATTTTATGATCGATGGCTTCGTTTCGATGATATTTGTTTCCGAGCCACTCAATAAAATTAGAGCGCATTCACCACGTTAATTGCACATAAAAAAATTGATTAAAACACCAGCATTAGTGTTGGGTCAAGGCTTTGGCACATTTTTGTAACCATTATTTAATACAGTTTTATACAGGGTGTTCCGTCTATACCCCACATTAAAAGTATTGGGAATTCTAATAATCATATTTGTTTGAAAACTGGTACATAGCCATAATGCATTAAGTCCTCCTAAATGAAAATATTTTCAAGATGGCGGCACTTCCGGTTATACCGGAAGTCGGTCTCAACTTTCTTATTTTAAATGGAAAGGTATATTTTTTACTGCCTTTTTGGATTAATCGGGTTATTTTAAGAGAGTTTTCATCAGCTTTCCCTATACCCAAATTTAGCCGTTTTTGAAATATTTGGAGTTTTTCAAAAATTTTTGGATCTGCGCCTTACACTTTAAAAATCGGTAACTCTGCCATTTTTAAGATTGTGAATTCGTTTTTTTGACGTTTGAAAGAGAAAGCTTAGATCTTTCTTACGGTGTTTTCAATTTTTTTACAAAAAATTAACAAACCCCAAAATTTCAAGGTTACTTTTGTAATAATTCAAATACCCATAACTCAATTTTTATTTTATTAAATTTAAGAGATTTTAATTCTGCATCGATCTGTATTAACATTCCCTATACCTAAATTTAATTATTTTTAGGTTATGGTGACTTTTTGTTAAGACTGTCTATTACGTTTTCGTATAGTATGCTATGGAAATAAAAAATGTCAAAATTGTTTCTCAATAAACGTCGACAGTGACTTATTATTTGACAAATAGTGCCAAAATATGGAGAGCCAAAGCGACTCAAACTTATATTTAATTAATTTATTTTGTATTTGTGGAGAGTGTAACAAAATTATGATGTCGTTCATTAAACAAAAATAAATTTTTCTCATTTGTTAGCTTTAAATAATGATCGCATGGTAGAACCTATCAATAATAATTAAGTTTGCATAATTTTGATTCTTCATATTTTGGCACTATTTGTCAAATAGTAATTTACTGTTGATGTTTGTTTAGAGAAAATTTTGTAATTTTTGATTTCCACATCAAACTATGTGAAAACGGGTGTGGCTAGTAATAAATTTTCTGTAGTTTTAATAAAAAGTCCATAACTTGAAAATTATTAAATTTAGGTATAGGGAATGTTAATACAGCTCAATGCACAATTAAATTCTCTTCTATTTAGTAAAATAAAAATTGGGGTATTTCTTTGAAAAAAATTGAGTTATGAGTATTTGAATTATTACAAAAGTAACCTTAAAATTTTGGAATATGTTATTTTTTTCAAAATTTGAAAACACCCGAAATAGGATCTAAGCCCTCTTTTTCAAACGCCAAAAAAAACGAATTCAAAATCTTAAAAAATGGCAGAGTTACCGATTTTTAAAGTGCAAGGTGCAGATCCAAAATTTTTTGAAAAACTCCAAATATTTTAAAAACGGCTAAATTTAGGTATAGGGAAAGCTGATGAAAATTCCCTTAAAATAACCCGATTAATCCAAAAAGGCAGTATAAAATATACCTTTCCGTTTAAAATAAGAAAGTTGAAACCGACTTCCGGTATAAGCGGAAGTGCCGCCATCTTGAAAATATTTTCATTTAGGAGGACTTAATGGTTTATGGCTATGTACCAATTTTCAAATAAATACAATTATTCGAACTTCCAATACTTCTAATGTGGGGTTTAGACGGAACACCCTGTATAATTGTTAATTGAGTTAAAACGCACTTACAAGGAGTAGAATTTCTTTGAAGTAACACCCATTAGTAACCCATCGAGGAACTTGAGCTGAGGAGCGTGTGATATGTACCTGAAAGCAAGCTTTTACAAGTGGAAATTTAATTTTTCCGGATTTTACAATGTTCTCAAATTCGGAATGTCGGCAAAAGTGCCATCTTCGATAACTCGCAAGTATGGCAGGTTACCCAGAGTCCTAGAAAAACAATATTATTAGTCTTAAAAGTGTCATAAAAATGTTAATTGATTTTTTCTTGTGTCAAAAGGTGCAAGCAAAATGTTAATCCAGTGATTAAGATGCTGCAGATGTGCCTTCTCAGACCCTAATCCTATTAAAACTAAAGTATATTTTAGTTATATTGACACTCTCTTCACGAGTTCATATTAACATTTCAGTCCCACCGCTCTGAAATTAGCTGGATTACATAAAAACAATACAATTCCTTCCGAATTCAAGCCACGTTTCAAACTTTCCACGCAATTTTGCTTTGTTATCATAGTATTTCCGAATTTGTGTAGAAAGTGGATTTATTTCACAATCAAGATAAAATAGTTTGTATACTGACCCTTCCCATGTGACTACTTTTCTCTGTCAATATAAAAGCCAGTTTAATATTATCTGACGTGGTTTTAAGCTCGCCTGAACGAAAACGACAGTTCAATAAAAAGCTTAAAGTCTTTAAAATGTATTGCACTAGGGTTAATGGAACAAACACAAGTTTTTTGATTTATTATTTTAATAGGAAGTAAAGTAATTTTATGCAAACTCTGGATTAAATCATTGTTACGACTCGTGCTTAAAATTGATTGTAATTAAATACAATTAAATTACGTAAACAGAATGTATTTTTAGAAAAGCGATATTTTCAGTAAATTTGAATTGTTAGAGAGAATTTTTAATTTGTAACATCAAAAAAATTAATCACGTTGTTGCAATGTATCTTTTGTTCTCTTAAAATTGTATAACAAACACATGGGAATGGCTTTCTGCATTATTTACTCAAGAAATAATAAATCTGTCAACAGATTTAACGTCTGAATCACAAAACCATTATTATAATCAATGAGGTTTTTAAGACAAATTCAAAATTGATTTCTTTAAATCCCTTCAGACATCTTTTTAAACGTTTTATATTTTTTAAATATAAAAACGTCAATACTAACCGGCGGACGTATTGACAATTAAACTAATAATAATTTAAAAACCATGATTAAACCATTTTTTTTCTATTAAAAAAACAATCTACGGAGCTCATAAGACTGTATATTTTTCCTTTTAACATAAGAGTAGCAATCTTTATTTAGACCTTATTTGTAAAAGGAACTTCCGGTAAGCAGCTTGAGTTTTTTTTTTGTTTAGCAAAGCCAAACAATCGAATATAAAAAATCAAATTATTTAATAAACATCACTATTAAATTATAGTATTACACAAAAAACAGAATTCATGAATTAAAATAATCTTCTAATTTTTTCAAATATTTTTTGAATTATTTACTTACTTTTAAATCATTTAGCATTTTTTGAAATGGTTGTTATCAGGCTTTCCAAACCAATAATAATAATTAAATAATAATAATGTT